TTTTTTTTTTTTTTTTTTTGCTGGCTCAGGCTGCCTTAAGGGCAGGTCTGGTGAGGCATGAGGAGCTGGGTGCTTCAAACAACTGAGCTAACTCGCAAGAGCCCCCCAAAAGCTAAATTTTGATAGCATACCCCACACTACCTTGAGGGGCCTAAGAATAAATCTGTGAGATATGGATGGTATTATTATTTCTAGTTTATAACTGGAAGAAGTGAAGTACACCAGAGTTAACAGTGATAAAGTAGGGGCGGGGGAGTAGCTCTGTAGTAGAGTGTAGAGGAGGTCCTGGGTTCAATCCCCAGGACGTACACACACACATAAAGTAATGCAGCTGATTAAGCCGTATGTTTGCCACACAACAGTGCTCCAAGCTGGGTGTGATAGTACACCCCTATAATCCCAGCACTCAGTAGCCTAAGGCAGGAAGATCAAGGTAAATTTGAGACCACCCTGTCTTAAAAAACAAAACAAGGGCCAGCCAGATAGCTCAGCTGATTAAATTAAAGCACCTGCTTAGGCAGATTCAGGGACCGGAGTTGATCCTGACAAGCTGTACGGTCTGCCCCTGGGGTGCACTGAGATCATGAATGAGATTGGGCATGGTGGTTCATACCTGTAATCACAGCAATTGGGAGGCTGAAAACAGGAGAATCACTATGAGTCAAATCTGTGTAGTGAGATTCTGTAGACCTTTACTATATACATTAAAAACAAAACAAAATGCAAAAGCAGCACTCTGGTTTGTGTTTTTTTTTTTTTTTTTTTGTGGAACCAGGGATTGAACTCAGGCCCTTGCGCTTGCCAGGAAGCGCTTATTCCACTAAGCCACCTCCTGGATCCCTCTATCACTCTGTTAAGAGTTAAGTTTTCTTGGGGCTGGTGAGATGGCTCAGTGGTCTAAAACACCTACTTAGAACAAGTTTAGCAAAAACAAAGGGACTGGGGTTCAATCCCCCAGCACCACATGCCAGCCAGCCCCGCCCACTGGTGGTCTGAGCTGGCCACACACACACACACACACACACACACAAATAAATAAATAAAAAATTAAAAAAAAAAAAGCGGCCTAAAAAAAAAAAGAGTTAAGTTTTCTGGGTAAAAATAAAAACATTATGATTTTTAAAAAATCAACAATAAAATGTATATATTTATGGTATGCATATTTTGCTATATGTGTACAATATGGGGCAACTGAATCAAGCTAGTTAGTATAGTGGCCGGGGAGATAGCTCATTAGAATAAGCACTTGCCTGGCAAGCTCAAGGGTCTGAGTTCAATCCCCAGTTCCACCAAAAAACAAAAACAAAAACCACAAAACAAAATAAAAAACCAGGTAGTATATCCCTTATCTTTTTTGTTGTTTTGTTTTGTTTTGGTAGTGAGAACACATAAGTTTTGCTCTCTTAGCAGTTTTCAAGAATACATTGCATCATTATTAACTATGGTCACTATGTGAATTTAACTTCTTTTCTTTCCGGAACCAGGGGTTGAACTCAGGCTCTTGCACTTGCCAGGCAAGCACTTATTCTACTGAGCCATCTCCCCTGTCCTCTTGAATTTAACTTCTGCAACTGAAATTTTATATCCTTTAACCAACATCTCCCCAACCTTTTTATTAAGATCTATTAAGGGGCCAACCAGATAGCTCAGTGGATTAAAGTGCCTGCTTAGGCAGACACAGGAACCGGGTTCGAATTTCCAGCATGCGGTACTAGCCCTGCCCCTGGGGCGTGCTGGGAGGGTGGGGGATTGAGACTGGGCATGGTGGGGCATGCCTGTAATCCCAGCCTTTGGGAGGCTGAAAGCAGTAGGATCACTATGAGTCTGATCTGTGCAGTGAGACTCTGTACTAAATACATTTTTAAAAAAATCATTAAGATTTTCTATTAAGATCATATGCTGCTTATTGTATACAATGTTCTTTTTCTAAAGTGCAGGTAGTATTGAGTAGTAGAGTCATTGAGGTAGGACACCAAGAAAGGGAAATAGAAGGATGTTTAGGTTACATTACGTGTAGTAAAGATGAACAGAGTTTCCTGATACATGGATGTAAAATGTACTCCTTGCAGTGGGTCCAGATTTTTTAAAAAGTATGAAAGCCCCTGTGCTATCACAATGCCAAGTTCTAAATAACGTTTATTAAATTGAATTATAATGCTTTCATTTTCTTTTGTTTCCGTAAGCTGTTTCCTCCGTTTGTAGTTACTAGGAGGCAGAGATCACATTATTTATTTATTTAGTAGCAGGGATTGAGCTCAGGACCTTGCACTTGCCAGGCAGGTGCTTAAGCCACTGAGCTGTCACTCTGGCCATCATTTTTATTTTTATGTTTTTGTTTACCATCAGAATCCTTGCTACGAAGTTGGCACATAGTGTGTGTCAAATGAGACTGAATAAATGTGTCAAATGAAGGGATAATATAGCTCAGTGTATATGGTTGAAAATGACTCTCACTTTATATCCTTCTAGAATTCTTACTATTGTACTGCGAGACCTGACACTGTTCAGTTAATAGTTTCTAAGAGTGCATTTATCGGCTTGGGGCGACAACGTTTGGGCAAGAATCATCAGAATTGTACTCAGGCAGCGGCAGTACCTGCCCTTTGTCAACATGGCGTCCAAAATGACTTCAGAAAGGGCGACGTAAGACCAATGACCTTAGTCAAAATGGCTTCTTTAACGTCGCTCTAACGGCATGCGCACGCTCAATTCTATTCCTTCCTCGCCCGGTTGTCTAGCGCGTGCGTGCTAGCGTAGAGGAGCGTGGGAGGAATAAATTTCTCTGTGATTGGTTGAAGCAGGATTTCAAACCGGAGCTGGCGGCTCGGGGCCGCGCTGTCGTTGGGTGAGGCGCGGAGGGAAGTTGAGGGCGGTCCAGGTGAGCCCCGGCAGACCCGGCGAAGGGACCGCTGGGGGCTGAGACGAGGGGCGTCCAACGCTGGATTGTGGCGGAAAAGGGTGCATCCGACGAAGTAAGTCTCGGGGGGCGGGGGGTGGTCGGGGATGAGGCGACAGCTGCCACCCCTCCACTGGGCTTTTCTTCTCAGCGTCGGGGTTTTGGAAGTTGGGGGCATCTTCTGAACAAGTATCTTGGACTGAGTCGGAGCACCTCACTCCGCCCCGGTTAAAGCCCCCACCTAGGTGGCTTTCGTGTAAATACAGACTGTGAGAGGGGGTGGGATGCCTCCGCGTCCTCCCCGGGTTTTCGGAGAAACCGTGTTTCTAGGATGTTTCCGTGAGAGGCCGGGCGGCCTGAAGTGCAGCCGCTCGCCCTTCCCAGCTGTGTGTCCCTGGGGAGCGAGGTGCTGACTTCAGGGACGTCTTACCCTTCCCGCCCTAGTACTTAGCCGTAGTCACTGTGAAACTTTATTTTCACATTTCACATATCTTAATAGTATCTCATTCGTCTGCGGAGGGTGGAAGATGGAATGGGTGGAAAGATAAGCCTTAAAAATTACATGTATATGTCTAGTAAATAAGTGTTTTGCGTTTTTGCAGATGCTTAGAGGAGGTGCCTTTCCTCTACCTTAATCATTCAACAGGTATTTCTTAAGAACAAAGTGTAAGTAAAAGTCAATCTTAGTTGGCCTTTTAAAAGAGAGTGCAGTTTAATGAAATAAATATGTATATTACGTGGATATAAGTGCTTTAAAGCAAAATAATTCCTGGCAAGTGCAAGGGCCCGAGTTCAATCCCCGGTTCTGCCAAAATAAAATAAAATAAAATAAAAATAAGAAATAAAGCAAAATAATGCCTAGAAGTACAGGGGAAAAGTACTAATGTGTGAGTAAAGATTGGTGAAGAAAGATTTAAAAGAGGCAGTGGAGTGACCATATAAGAAATATCAGGCGAGACTTAGTCATTCATCAACTCTTTTTAACTTAATGGAAACCTGATAATAAAAGGCAAGCCACAAAATTGTATGAGTGTGTAATGAGAAAGAGTTAGATATGGAGGTAATGATAGTTGTGTAGGGTAATGAGTTTTTTGTTTCACTCTTTAAAAAGTAAATTTTGAACATAGAAAATTAACACTGTGAGACAGTCTTTTTATCTGCCAAATCCGTTTTGTAGATAAGGTTATTTTGAAATGAAAAGGTTAGGGAAAGCTTCAGTGAATTGGTAAGACTTACTCTAGGTCTTGAAGGATTGAAGGTTTTAGAATAGGAGTAATTCCCCCCCCCCCTCCAAACCGGGGATTGAACTCAGGCCCTTGCACTTGCCAGGGAAGCACTTATTCCACTGAGCCATCTCCCCGGCCCCTAGGAGTAATTTTTTTTTTTTTAAATAATTTATTTATTTGGTACAGGGTCTCACTACACAGCTTGGATTCATAGTGATCCTCCTGTCTTAGCCTTCCCAGCACCAGGATTACAGGCTTGTGTCACCACGCCCAGTTTCAGTGGATGGCTCGGCATGGGACTAGCATGGCATGTAGTACTGGGGATTGAACCCCGGTCCTTGTGCTTGCCAGGCGGGCGCTTACATCACCGAACTATTTCCTGAGCAGAATAGGAAGAATTAAAAGTTTTTCTTATTTTTTTAAAGAGAATACAAAGTAATAATAATAATGATAATAACATTAGAAATAATACAGAATTTCACTAAACAAAATAATACAAATTCAGCAATGTGTGTTGTGTATTGCATAGTGTTATCTTCAAATTAGTTGTTTAGATTACCAGGTATTAGAATGGGAAGGATTTACAGGGGGAAGATGGGTAATAAATGTTAAATCCTAATTCAGTCCTTCCCTTTTCAGTCTTCATTCTTTTTTTTTTTTTTTTTTTTGTATTTTAGGAAAGGATCTACAGGATGTTCAGGGTCTCACTACTAGATTGGACTCATAGCGATCCGCCTGTTTACAGCCTCCCAAGAGCTGGGATTACAGGCGCATGCTACCACACCCAGTCTCAATTGCCGTCTCTGTGCATGGGGGCAGGGCCATCACAGCAGGCCCAAGGATCCAGTCAGGCCCCTGCACCTGCTTGCAGGAGCTTTAATCCACTGAGCTATTTGACTGGCCCTCTTTTTTTTTTAAAATTAATTTTTTCTTGACTTTTTTTTGAGATAGGGTCTTGTAATGTAGTGCAGGCTGGTTGGTCCTGAACTCACTAAACTCACTATATGATCCAGGCTCGCCTTGAATTTGAATCATTCTTCTGCCTTATCCTCACAAGTGCAGGGATTATAGGTGTGTGCCATTACCCCTGGCAGTCTTTATTCATTCTGGATAAAGAGCTTTCTTTTTTCTCTTTGTGCAACAATTGATTTGCTTATAAGAATATTTGATCTCACGATTCTTCTCTTTGCCATTTGGATAGCTCAGTGTGGTGGATTGACAACTGCTGGTCAACTTGTAACACCCAGCTGAACTGAACCAGCATGGTGCTGGGTGTGGGAGGCCCACCTGAGGGTTGTTGCTGGCAGCATAAGAGGCAGAACTGGAGAGGAAGAAGTTTAGAGGCTGTTAGGGAAGCTGAAGGGTGCTGTTGGTTTTCCTGGAGGACCTTGTCACGCTGGCTTTCCTGATGAACTCGATTGTTCTTTGTCATCTAAGGAGCTCAGGGCCTCAGAATGGCTATAATTCACTTTGGGGGAGCTTTGGTCCTCACTTTGAGCATTGCTTCCTGGCTCTGGAGGGGTAAATTGTGCACAGCTCATTCTCCTGGAGAAGCTTGTCACATTGGCTTTCCTGATAGGAACTTGACTGTTCTCATCAGGGGACGAGCTCAGGACCTCACTATTGCTGAGAATGGCAGTGGTACTTTTCAGGAGAGCTCTAGTTCTTTGAGCACCTCTTCCTGGCTCCAGTGCAGATCTTTCAGCTTGCTAGCACAGATCCTTCATCCTACTGGCACAGACTTTCTAGCTTCCACCACTGACCTTTGGGCGCTCGCAGCACAGATTCGTGAAGCAGGCCTTCAGGAGACATTGTCGTGGGCATGTGGCCTTCAGGTGGACTCATGGGGGGCATTGTTATGAGGTTTAGGTCTTTAGCTGGACTCATACAGGCCCTTATTATCAGATCTAGGCTCTCAGCTGGATTCATAGGTCTTTAGCATGTGGGCAAATTTCCTGCACTCTTTGTATATGACTCTTTGGGTGACTGTTGTAAAATAATTTATAAATCATGTGTCCTGTATTAAATTGTTTCCCCTCACTGTAACACTCTGCTTGTGATATGTTGAAATCGAAGCTGGACAATTTGGGGAAAAGAGTTGTTCTGAAATGCTTTTGTATGGAAAAAATCTTAGTATTGAGATTGTCCATCCTGGTGATGACAAACGTATTAGAGCTTTCAGTGTCACAACAAAACAGCCCACTGCAGCATGCTGTAGGTGTGCAGCCACTGCCCTATGGGAATGGTTTTCTTTGGCAGCAGGAAACCTATATTGTTGATTTCTTGGGAAATCTCCAGATCTGCAATGTTTATGGTATGTTTTTCATTAAAGCACTTTGCTGAAAAACTCAAGCAATCTTTCATTGCTTTGTCTTACAATATTTAACACCCGTGATGCATCTAAAAACCTGATATATAGGTCTCTTAATAATGTTATTTGTAAGAGGAGGAAGAAGAGTATAGAGGCTTCTCCCCGGGTACCCTGCAGTAAGATCTGTTCTGTAATAGTCTGTTATTCTGAAGAACTGTCTGTCTTTTGGCTAGGTGATTGAAATTAAATTGGGGGCTCAAAGCAATCACTGCAAGCTGAGACTCTTTCATGGTGTTGCAAGATTGCTCCCTTAGGGATACTCACAGATTGGGAATCTGTAACATAGTGACTTTTCCACCTCTGGGGCTCCCCATCAATAACAGCTGAGATTTTATAGTACCTTTTTGTTTAAAGTGTTCCACAAACTGATTTCTTTGCTACACACAGGAATCATTGGAGCTTTCCTAAAAGACAGAAGCCTCTGTTGTGGAAAGTGACAGCTGTTTTACAGCTGCAAAGCAATGCACTAATATGACTTTGTTTTTGTTTCCACATTATGTATTTTCTAGCTATGGAGCTAAATAATAAAGAGGGAGAAAATAAACATGAGGGTGAAAATGTTATCCAGTAGGAAAATTAAGACCATTCTCAGTTGATGTTGAATTGAACGAGTAAATTTTAGCTTTTCAAGTTACAGTTTGGCTTCAGTATCAAGAATTAGTGGTAGTGGGCCGGGGAGATGGCTCAGTAGAAGGGCCTGAGTTCAATCCCCGGTTCCGGAAAAAAAAAAAAAAAAGAATTAGCGGTAGTGCGAAAGATATTTTTGTCACCTGTAAATAATTCCTGAGATTCATTTCTGTAGAATGTTAATAAAAATATATGGTCCCCTTCCATATAAAGAGGATTATATTTTGCTAGAGCTGTTTTTGGATTACCCTAAGTAAACCTATATTGGAGGATAAAACTAAATCTTGAGAAGCAGCTAAGACTCATCTATGACAGCTTGTTGAAGAGCCTTGGCCTGGTCAGTTTTGCTATCTCCATTCTTTTTGGTCTAGGTTCTAGCTATAATTTCATGTTTTATGTGCATTGTGCTTTGTGTGATATGTTATGATTTGTGGGTGTTGTCCAAGAATATCTGCAACATATGTGACCTAACTGCTATTTTTATAACATTTTATCTTTAGTGTGTTAGGATGGAAAGAATACAGATTTTGTGTTTAGGCCTGGATTTCATTATAAGCTCAGTATTTATTAGTCACTTAAGGTCTCTGAGCTTTAGTTGTCCTTTGTAAAATGGAGTTCATTAAGTTAATCAGATTGACTTACAGAAAAATGTTATGCAATGTGTCATTTAGTGCCCAAGTCATTTCAAAAGCACCCAGTAAATACTGACTTCTTTTTTTCTTTCTGGCTACTTAGCACTATTTAATAAAAATTCTAGCTGGATGTAGTGGTACGTACCTATAATCCCAGCACTGGGGAAGCTGAGGCAAGAGGATCACTGTGAGTTTAAGGCCAGCTTGGGCTACATAGTGA